TTTATCCTGGCCCCTTTATTTTGAAACGGGAAATTTTTTTCCCAAAAACTTTGTGTTAAAACCAAATTACCATTTCCGACCATTTATTGTGTAGTTTATCCTGGACCTTATTTTGGGAAAATGGAATATTTTTAGCCTTTTTTTTAAAATTTGGGCCCAAAAAAACCAAAAATTTTTGATTACTTTATTGTGAAATTGAAAATGTTTTAACCGGGGAATTTTTGTGCCCGTTTTAAAAAAAGAAATAATACTAGTGAAATAGCTTTAAAAAATTTTTACGCTCACACTGCTTCCGGGAAATCCAACCCCCCGCCCATAAAAATTTCTTTACCTTTCCCCCTCCAACCTTTCTAGGATGACCCCCACCCCCCTTCCTTACCCTACAATTATACACTCTCTAATTTTTCAAATTCGATCCATTCTCTCTAAATGACCACACCACCTCAACAACATTTCTAATAAACTGCCCGTAAAATATGCTGAATACATTTTTTTTTTTGGGTTTCCCTAATTTTTATGTAATTCATGATACTAAACCCAATTATGCCTTTTCCAATTACGTCACATAAGGGAAAAAAATTTTTGATGGAGCTGCTTTTTGGGAAAGGGGATGGTGGCTGTGGGGGCTTGTTACTGCTGCTTGTTGTTTTTGTTTTTCCCGGTAGAAAACTGGGTTTATTACATGGTTGTAAAGGTTTTTTGGGGTGGTTGGGGTATATGTTTTTTATTTTCATGAAAAGGGGAAAAAAAGATTTCCAAGGGTAAAGGGAGAGTTTGTATATTGACCCCTTTTTATAAGGGAAAGTGGGATGAAGAGGATAAGAAATTTTTGAAAAATAAACCTAAGGAGTGACTGGATTAAGGGTTTAAGGTAGAATTATTTAAAGAAAAAAGGGAGTTTAAAACAAAGTAAGGGTTTTCATAGGAACAAAAAGGGGGGATTTTTTTAAAACCCCTTTTAAATGTTTAGGTCATATGTTTTACATCCATGGGCCAGTGTTTGGGGAGTATTAATAAAAAAAGCCAAAAAATTTTAGCAGCTTCAAAAACAACAAGAAAGCGGAGGGGTTTACTTTCGAAGAAGGGTCCCGTGCGGGCAATGTGTCATAAAAAAAAAAAATCCTCAGCACACATGCATAAAGAGGAAAAAAAAACTCCGCCCCGTATTTTTTTTGGGTTAAAAAAGCCGACTTTGGGGGTGGGAAATTTTTGTATAGTAATTTTTGGTTTTTATTCTTGTTTTCTTGGGCTCCCTTTTTATAAAATGGAAGACATATTATAGAAATAGAGATGATTTTGATTGGTTTCACGAAGAAAAGGACCTTGAAATTGAGTTCATAGTAGTAGAAATGTTTGATTTTGCTGATTTTCAAAAGTAAACAGATGACGTCATTGTTCAATAAGTATCCAACTAGCCTTTGTGGCAAAGGGGAAGGAAATAGTGTGCTGTTGTTGCAAAAGGGGTAGATATGGTGACAAAAAAGAGATCGCAAACCCTCGAAGAAGTGGAAAGGTTATTGTTGATGTGGATTACCCAAAAACAATTAGCAGGAGATAGTATTATGCAGTCGATAATATGTGAAAAGGCAAGGCAGTTGCATGACAATCTCGTAAAGAAAATGCCTGCAACGAGTGATGATGCTTGTGTTTTTAAGGCCAGCAAAGGTTGGTTTGAGAGATTTAAGAAGCGTAGTGGCATACACAGTGTGGTAAGTCATGGTGAGGCTGCCAGTTCTGACAAAAAGCGGCTGAGATGTTTGTACAGGAGTTTAAGGAGTACGTAGACACTGGAGAATTCAAACCTCAACAAGTGTTCAGTTGTGACGAAATAGGCCTCTTTTGGAAGAAAATGCCAAAGAGGACCTACATCATGCAGGAGGAAAAGGCACTCCCAGGACACAAGCCTATGAAAGACAGACTAAATCTCATGTTTTGTAGTAATGCTAGTGGAGATTGCAAAGTGAAGCCTTTACTGGTGTATAACTCTGAAAATCCCAGAGTGTTCAATAAAAACAGTGTTGCCAAGAGTAATCTGTGTGTGATGTGGAAGGCTAACAGTAAGGCATGGGTCACAAGGGAAATTTTCCTTGACTGGTTTAATGAAGTGTTTGGCCCCAGTGTGAAGAAATCCCTCCTGGAAAATAAATTGCCACTCAAGTGCCTCCTGGTAATGGACACTGCTCCTGCTCATCCTCCAGACTTGGAAGAGCAAATGGTAGAGGACTTTACTTTCATCACTGTGAAGTTCTTGCCCCTTAATACAACTCCTCTCCTCCAACCCATGGACCAGCAGGTCATTTCAAACTTCCAAAAACTGTACACCAAAGCAGTGTTTCAGAAGTGCTTTGAAGTGACCTCAGACACTGAATTGACCCTAAGAGAGTTCTGAAAAGATCACTTCAGTATCCTCACTCGTATAAACCTTATAGGTAAGGCTTGGTAGGGAGTAACTTGCAGAACTTTGAATTCTGCTTGGAGAAAATTGTGGCCTCAAAGTGTACAAGAGAGGGATTTTGAAGTGTTTGGGGCTGACCCTGTGGAGCCTATGCCAGTTGTGGAAAGTATTGTGTCACAGGGGAATTCCATGGGGTTGGATGTAAGTTTCGAGGATGTGGAAGAGTTGGTGGAGGATCATGATGAAGAGCTAACCACTGCAGAGCTGCAAGAGCTTCAACTGCAACACCAACAGACCACAGCTCAGGAAATTGCTGCAGAGGAGGAGGAGGAGGAAGAAGAGAGATGGAGGAAGGTGCCTTCTTCTAAGATTAAGGACATTTGTGCAAAGTGGACTGAAGTGCAATTATTTATTGATGAACTTCACCCTGACAGAGCTGTTGCAGGCCATATTGGCAACATATACAATGACAGTGCTGTGCCCCATTTCAGAAACGCCAGAAACAGAGCTCTTGGACAGATATTTTGTGCGACAGGAGTCCAGTAACTCTCAAGTTGTTCCCAGTGTCATTAAAAAACAAAGAAGGGAAGTAACCCCCAGATAAGGACTTGATACCTGAAGTCTTTATGGAAGGGAATTCCCCTTCCAAACAATAGTGTACACCTTCCTCCTATCCCCTCCTCCCATCTTCTATCCACCCAGAAGTCTTCAGTAAAGGTAAGTGTAATGTTATTATCATTTTATATGTATGTACTTGATTTCTCACTGTTTTCTGTATGTAAATCTTTATTTAATTTGAAAAAAAAAAAATTTTTTAATGTTTTTGGGTGTCTAGAACAGATTAATTTTATTTCCATTATTTCTTTTGGGGAAAATGGTTTCACCATTCAGCAATTTCGTCATTCGGCAGACTCTCTGGAATGGATTAATCACGAAACTTGGGGGTCCACTGTAGTTACTATGTACTGTTTCTTGTCTAGTTTTAAGTAGTTACTATGTATTAGGATTAGTCTGCCTGAAATGCCTCAGCATGATGGTGGCTTTCTTTGTACTTAGTGAACCAAAATTGTAATTACACATTGTAACCTTTACAAAGAAATAAACCTTCATCTTTATCTTTTTATCTTTAACTAGTACTTGTGGAAATCTGAAGGTTTGAAGGTGACGTTGGTGATTGCCTTATGGGAACGTGTGTTTGCCCTGTGAAGGAAATTATTGTGTTTTAATTTTTTTTATGATTATTCCAGTTTTTCTGTTTAATTTTAACCCTTTCAGGGTCCAGAGGCCAAATTTCAAAGTGTGCACCAGGGTCCAAGAATTTAAAAAATTTTTTTTTTATTTTTTCTTACAAAATGGTAGAGAATCTTTTTCTGAAGGTAATAAAACAAAAAGTACGAAATTTGATGGAAAATTTACGAAATTATGCTCTTGCGAATTTTGATGTTTCGGCAATATATACGCATTGACGGTTTTGCCGACTTTGACTCCCATTTTAGGCCAATTACAGTATTCCAGTCAACCAAATTCTTAGCTGTTTCACTAGTATTACTTCTATTGATCGAGCACAAGAAATCACCAAGTCAACTGTTTCAACAACAAAATAAAGTGACCGGAAATTGGTAATTTGGCCAGTTTAATGCAAAGTTCAAAATATTCCCATTTCAAAAGAGGGTCCAGAATAAACAATGCAGGCATTCCTGGCACTAAACTAACAATTCTTCTGTTCATTAGTTACATTTTCAGGCTTTACAGATGAATTCCATTTTTATTTTTTATTCGCATAATGAATTTTTATTCAAACAAAAAAAATAGAAGATTTACTGTTATGCAATACTGTAATAAATGTATAAATAATATCACCACATTTGTGAATGTATATTAGACCCACCAGCTGTCATGTATTAGACTTGTGAGGTCATTTGTTTACTCTTGAACATTGGCAAAAATTTAACATTTCTGCTAATTTGAGCTCAGTTTCAAGTCATTTCTGGTACTAAAACCAATCAAAATCATCTCTATTTCTGTAATATATCTTCTGTTCTATCAAATGAGACCAAGAAATTGCAAATACAACTATAAAAAAATATACGAAAAAACACTGCAAAGTCGTTGTTTTAATCGAAAATTACAGTCTCAGTTTTTTTTCTCTCATTATGCACTGTGTGCTGCAGGATTTTTTTTATGTGGTGCACACACACCACATAGATGTATTCTCTCATATCTAGGCCAAAATTTACTGCTCACAGCTTATCAGAGTGAGCTGAGCTCATGGCGTAGATCTATGGTTTGGACCCTGAACGTAAAGCCGTAGATCTACAGCACGGACCCTGAAAGGGTTAATGGATCATATGTTTTATACCTAGATCTGTGTTCTCATTTAATATTTCACTTAAATTAATTGTTCATTTGAATTTTGATGTCTGTACATTTTTGTTAAGAAAGCTATTGAATGAATGATGGTGAATGTTTGTTTTTGGGCCACCCTACCTTAATGGGAGACTGTTGCTATGTTCAAGAAATTATACTGATAAAATTTAACTTGTTTAATTGAACTCTACAGTATATATTTCAGGGTACAACAATGTAATTCCTTTTCACATTGCAGAGTGTATCTGCTCTACCACTCGTGGAGTCAGGTGTTATGGGGGGCGCTTGTGGGTGTATTACTTGGCTGTAGCTGGTTCATGTTGACCCATCTGGTATTAACGCCACTCTTCCCGGTTATTGCATCATGGTAAGTCACTCTTGCTTCCTATGCACACATGCAAAATAAATCATACAAATGACTGTACATCTCTACAAAAGACTAATAAATAGAACTCGTGACGTGGTAAATTAATGATGCAAATTAATGTAGATAACTGTCATAAGAACTGAAAGAAATAACAGACCATGTGAATATAGATTGCATGATGAAATTGCTTAAATGTCAGAGTATGGGATGTAGAAGTCATCCTAGGCCAAAAAAAAATTCACCAGAAGATCGTGTAAATGACACGTGTTAACCCTTTGACTGTTTTGGTTGTATATATACGTCTTACGCGCCACTGTTTCGGACGTATTTATATGCGTAAATTCTAGTGGCTTCAAATCAAGTGTGAGAAAGCTGGGAGGCCCACATGTGAGAGAATGGGTCTGTGTGGTTAGTGTGCACCACATAAAAAAATCCTGCAGCACGCAGTGAGTAATGAAAAAAAAACCTGACCATTTTTTTGGATTAAAACGCCGACTTTGAGGTGTATTTTCGTGTAGTATTTATTGTTGTATTCTCGTTTTCATGGTCTCAGGTGATAAAATGGAAAACATATTACAGAAATAGAGATGATTTTGATTAGTTTCACGATGAAAATGACCTTGAAATTGACCTCAAAGTAGCGGAAATGTTCGATTTTTACCAGTGTTCAGGAGTAAGCAGATCACACCACACGTCCAGTACACGTCAACTGGGGAGTTTGATATTCTTTCACTAGTGCACTGATATTATTTATACCATTTTTACAATAATGCATTAGTCTGCATAACAGTCAATTTTGCATTTTTTCCATGAATAAAAAATAAAAATATAAAGCAATAGTAATATAAGAGGGGCCTAGAGACATGACTAATGAACAGAGGATATGTTATTTTAGTGCCAAGAATTTCTACATTGTTTATTCTGGGCCCTATTTTGAAATTAGCATCTTTTTTAATTTGCATGAAATTGGCCAAATTGCCAATTTCTGACCACTATTGGGTAGTTCAAATCAGTAAATGGGCAGTTTCTTGCACTCAGCTGATAGAAAAAATGGAGTTCTAGAGAAATAGCTCTGAGTTTGGTCAACTGGAATAATGGAATTGGCCAAAAACAGAGCTCAAATTCGGCAAAATTGCCAATGCGTGTATGTCGCCGAGACCGCTAACTTCGCGGGAGTGTAATTCCGTGAGTTTTTGACCAAATTTCATACATTTGGTATCATTACCATCAGGACAAGATTTTCTATAATTTCATAAGAAAAAATAATTTTTTTTCCAAAAATTTTGCGACATAGAATGACAGTTTCAGAAAGTGGCTTGCGACAGTCAAAGGGTTAAACTGGGAAATTTAAAATAGTCTTCATACTGGGAAACTTGAAAATAGTCTTCACATTTCACAACCTATGTACAAACTGGAGAAAAAACTTGAGCAGTATTTTGATCCATCCTCAACCATTTTTGAATCATGAATTGATAATGGTTCATAATCGAATGAACCATTTGTGTGCTAGTTGTGAACTGTTCCAGCTATGGTATTGAGGCCTCTTCTATGGATAGAGAAGTGGTAAAGAATTCACAGTACGTAGGGCCCCACTTATACGGCAGGTTAGGTTCCAGGCTACCGCCTTAAAGTGGAAGTCGCCATAAAGTGGAACACCCTTTTTTCCACTTATAAATGCATATAAATACTAGATAACAAGTTTACACTAACATACATTAAGTTAGCACTAGAACTAGACATTAAAAAACAATAAAAAAGTAAAATACACATATAGTACACTCATTACTTACCTTAAAATATTTGTAGTCTTAATCTAGGGTGAGATGAGTAGTATTTATTGTAAGAAATCAAGTGTGGTATGTATGGTAGCCAGGCTACCATACCAGGCCAACCCACCCCCACATAATACTCTACATTTAAGTATCCCAGAGCGATAAAATGCACATACAGTTCACTCATTACTTACCTTAAAATATTTGTAGTCTTAATGTAGGGTCAAAGGTGAGTAAATGAGATAAAACGAATAAATGAGAGAGAGAGAGAGAGAGAGAGAGAGAGAGAGAGAGAGAGAGAGAGAGAGAGAGAGAGAGAGAGAGAACGAGAGAGAGAGAAAGAGAGAGAGAGAGAAGAGAGAGAGAGAGAGAGAACGAGGAGAGAAAGAGAGAGAACGAGAGAGAGAAGAACGAGAGAGAGAGAGAGAGAGAGAGAACGAGAGAAGAGAAGAGAGAGAGAGAGAACGAGAGAGAGAGAGAGAGACGAGAGAGAGAGAGAGAGAGAGAGAGAGAGAACGGAGAGAGAGAGAGAACGAGAAGAGAGAGAGAACGAGAGAGAGAGAGAAGAGAGATGAGAGAGAGATGGAGAGAGAGAGAGAAGAGAGAGAGAGAACGAGGGGAGAGAGAACGAGAGAAGAGAGAGAAACCGAGAGAGAGAAGGAACGAGAGAGAGAAGAAGAGAGAGAGAGAACGAGAGAGAGAGAGAGAGAACGAGAGAGAGAGAGAGAACGAGAGAGAGAGAGAGAGAACGAGAGAGAGAGAGAGAAACAGAGAGGGGAGAGAGAGAGAAAAGAGAGAGAGACGAAGAGAGAGAGAACGAGAGAGGGGAAGAGAGAGAGAACGAGAAGAGAGAGAGAGAGAGAAGGAGAGAACGAGAGAGAGAGAACGAGAGAGAGAGAGAGAGAACGAAGAGAGAGAGAGAGAGGAGAACGAGAACGAGAACATGAGAGAGGACAGGTGCGGAGTTATGTAAACAAACCAGGCGAATGCAAGTTTTGTAAACAAACCAGTAAACAAACAAGTTACATTGTGTACAAGTTGTCTCTACATTGATACGGTAGAATAAATAAAGAAGAACACTCCCATTCTCATGTAACACCATTTTTAGAAAAAATGAAGCTTTGAGTGAAGACAGTGGAAATAAGTCACTCTGTCTGACTTTTTTGGGTTATCCTAGGTACTTTACACATGCTGCTGTGTATGATAATCTATGTAACTATATTTGTGTATACCTGAATAAACTTACTTACATACGAAAGGAATAATTTTCTACAGTTAACCCCAGTAACACATTTTCTCTTATGTTGGACTAAAGTAAATGTTATTCTTGCTGTCACTCGTACAAGTTGTCTGGCTACCACATCTCATATTTATATTTATTTATTCTACTGTGGGGTGTATTTATCATCTTTTTATGTTATGTATTGTGTTTATTATATAATTTTGAAAAAATATCATAGATGGATTAATAAAAAGTGTATATTAACGTAATACACGACATTTAATGAGACTCGGTGATGATGATGATGATTATTATTATTATTATTATAATACTATAAGACACTCTTACTGAATTTAATGTGTACCTGCACACCAGCACAGTGTGTAAGTTAATTTAGGTACAGGTATACATAAGTATAATTGTCAGAGTATACAGTGGACCCCCGGTTTGCGATGCCATCGGTATCCGATAAATCCGGTATTCGATACATTTTAACGCAAAATTTTTGCCTCGGTTCCCGTTAAAAAACCCGGTATATGATTTGTCTGAGACGTGTCCACGTGTGTGCCAGTGTTTACAAGCCAGCCAGTGTGCTAGCATCTAAGGATACATTCAGTACATTCCATATTATCACAGCATTTTTGGTGCTTGTTTCTGCAAAATAAATCACCATGGGCCCCAAGAAAGCTTCTAGTGCCAACCCTTCGAGAAAAAGGGTGCTAATGACTATTGAAATGAAGAAAGAGATAATTGCAAAGTACGAAAGTGGAGTGCGTGTGTCAGAGCTGGCCAGGTTGTATACAAAACCCCATTCAACCATCTCTACTATAGTGACCAGGAAAACGGCAATTAAGGAAGCTGTTGTTGCAAAAGGTGCAACTGTGATTACAAAACAGCGACTGCAAGTGTTAGAAGATGTTGAGAGACTGTTATTGATGTGGATATATGAAAAACAGATAGCAGGAGATAGCATCTCTCAAGCAATCATTTGTGAAAAGGCTCAGCAGTTGCATGACGATTTGGTAAAGAAATTGCCTGCAACTAGTGGTGATGTGAGTGAATTTAAGGCCAGCAAAGGTTAGTTTGAAAGATTTAAGAATTGTAGTGGCATAAATAGTGTGATTAGGCATGGTGAGGCTGCCAGTGACTCTCAAGCCGGTCCTAGTGGCATTAAAAGAAGAAGGGAAGTAACCCCAGAAAAGGACTTGCTACCTCAAGTCCTATTGGAAAGGGATTCCCGTTCTTAACAATAATTTCGACACTCTTCTCTCCTCCCATCCCATCAATCATCACCAGATCTTCATTAAAGGTAAGTGTCATGTATTCTATTGTTAGTAAAGTACTACAAACTGTGCATGCCTTCTTCAGTTTGTGTGCATTAAACTTAATATTTCATGTGGTAAAATTTTTTTTTTTCATACTTTTGGGTGTCTTGCACAGATTAATTTGATTTCCATTATTTCTTATGGGGAAAATTGATTCACTTTTCGATAATTTTGGTTTACGATGAGCTCTCAGGAACGGATTAATATCGCAAACTGGGGGTCCACTGTATATAAAATATGAAATAACTTTTAAAAACACTTGAAATTTTGGACTTTCCAGACAGAATGGAAGAAACTTAGTGCTTATGAATCTCACAGAGAATATAAACAAACATACAGTGGGCCCTCAGCCAGCGGCATTAATCCATTCCAGAGAGCTTGCCGTTAGTCGAATTTGCCGTTGGTTGAATTAATTTTCCCCATAAAAAATAATGGAAATAGAAATAATCCGTTCCTGACACCCCAAAGTATGAATTTCTTTTTTTTTTACATGACATATACACCAAAACGAATGGGACATGCAAAATAAACAATAATTAAATGCCACTTACCTTTATTGTGGGATTGTTGATGAGTGATAAGATGGTAGGAGGGAAGATGGTGGGGGTGTTTTATTGTTTGGAAGGGGAATCCCCTTTCATAAATACTTCAGCTACCATGTCCTTTGGTGGGGTTACCTCC